AAAAAAAAAAAAAGTTTAAGTTACGAGAAAAAGATTAGTTTCATTACAAAGCAGGTGTCGTGGTTCAGCAGGCCCCACTGATACAGACGCGGCCAGAAATGGGCACGTGCCTGGCCAGGAAGCGAGTCAAGTTCACGAGGCAAAGTCTAAAAGGAAACGAAGCGGTTAACCTGACGGATGGAGACCAGCACCGTCCGCGAGAACTCACTGGCAAGAGGGAGGCGTTCCGCCTGCCGCTAACTCCTGAGCCCCCAAAACCCGGGCCGTGTGCGTCAATAGTCTTCCCTGATGTACAGTTAGGTCCACGCGAGTCTACAGACGGCCACGCTGGACACGGCAGGTCCCACGTTACCCCCGAGAAGGGAAGTCGGTTCCGTGATCGCTAAGTTTCTACTTAGGGGCAAATCCAGGATGCAGGCAGGAGGCAATGCTGCTGTGGGGGTCCCGAGCCCCCAGGGGACTGTACCGGCCGCGGCCACACCACTCCCAGCCTCGCTGTGGGTCAGCGCCCTGCTCTGGACCGTCCAGGGCCTGGGCTGGCTGATGTCTGGGGCTAAAACCCCAAGAGAAAAGAGTCCCAAAGCGGAGCCCCAGATGCTAAGCAAGGAAGGATGGTGTGATGTGTGGGGAGACCACGCTCGGGGCCGGAGGAGTCGAGGGGCGCAGACTCTGGTCCCTGTGGTTCTCCAGCTGTCCGTCGGGGGCACCACACGTCACTTCCTGAGTTCTGTGTCGGGAGGGCACTGACACTTCAACCCCATTGTGTCCGAATCACCTGACCCCGGGCCCTACACTTGGCTGCAGGTGAGCTGCGGGGCGGCCCCTGACCTCACCTCCATCTCCTCCATGCGCAGCATCATGGTGTCCAGAAACGGGCTGTCCCTGCCACCTGCCCCGGGGGCCTGGGCTTGCGACGCCAAGACATCACAGCGGAGCGCGGTGCCTTCCAGACAGTCGCCCTGCTGGCGGAGGCTGCCGGGCCCCCCGTCCGCAGCCACAGCCTACGAAGCAAAGGAGGGGCAGAGAGGCGATGAGAACCAGTGGGCCGCAGGGAAGCAGCCCCGCAGCGTGTCCACGCCGCCGCCCCCCCCCCGCCCCTCCCGTGGCCACGCGCCCGAAGCCGTCGCGTCCACACAGTCTCCGCCACCGCCATTCAGACGGCCGCACTAGCCAATCACCGTGCTCGCCGTCGATGACAAGGCTCGGGGTCGCCGCCCCTGCCGGTCGGGAAACGAACGCCTTCCCTGCGCTACACCCAGACACGGCCGGTGTCTCGCGTGTCCTGTCCCGGAACACGGACCTACACGGATCTATTCCCTTCTGGTTCAACGCTCCCGTGACAGGTTCGCGACACCACGAGGGCCCTCATCCTGCGCCACGGGCCTGGGAGAGCTTGCCTGGCGCCTCCCGCCCTGCGTGCGCGCCCCCGTAGGCGGAGCGCCGCTGCGTACGCGCCCTTGACTCTCAAGTGCGGCTGGAACATAGAAGGTCTGCCGGAAGTGACAGCGTTGGGCCCTGGACGGGACAGTTTCGGGGCTGCGGACCCTGGCTCGACCCACAGGATGCGTATGCACCGTGGTCGAGCCCCCTGCGCCTCCCTCTCACCCTCGTCCGCCCTGCGGAAACACACGTCCGGCCTCAGAGCTAGCAGGGTGGGGCGCGCACGTGTGCCCGGGGACATGCAGGGAACAGTTCCCGCCAGGGAACCTGAAAACCTTCCAACAGATCACAGGGGGAAATGTATCAACGGCCAATAATGACAGAAGGAAATGCCCAACCTTAAAGTTATGTACAATCAGGTGAGTAATCAATACAATAAAATTACAAAAACTCTAGAGAAAACGAACCCAGGAACTCAGGTCTCCTTAATGGAGATGCGTTTGCACATGTAGCCCTTCTCCTCTGTAAGGACCGTGAATCAAGGATACCGTGTGTGGGGGCACCTGGGTGGCTCGTCAGACTCTTGATTTGAGTTCAGGTCTTGATCTCACGGTTCGTGACTTTGAGCCTCGCGTCGGGCTCCGTGTCTCCCTCTTTGTCTCTCCCCCTTCCCTGCTCATGCTGTCTCTCTCAAAAATAAATATCAAAACAAAAATTAAGAAAAAGAAAAAAGAGGGGCGCCTGGGTGGCGCAGTCGGTTAAGCGTCCGACTTCAGCCAGGTCACGATCTCGCGGTCCGGGAGTTCGAGCCCCGCGTCAGGCTCTGGGCTGATGGCTCAGAGCCTGGAGCCTGTTTCCGATTCTGTCTCCCTCTCTCTCTGCCCCTTCCCCGTTCATGCTCTGTCTCTCTCTGTCCCAAAAATAAATAAACG